TTTCTATGAATTCACTGTCGATAGCGAGCGGTGCGATGGAAAAAGATAACCGTTTATAAAAATATAATAAATAGCGCTGGACAATTAACACAGACTGATACTGAACTGATATAAATAGATATTTTTATCTTGTAAATACATATATAATATACATGTAAAACACCCAGACCGATGAAATCAATCGATGACCGATGAGTACATATGTTTGCACCGTGCGAGAAATCGAACCCGCGACCATCGGATGTAAAGCGGTGTGACCACCGAGGCAGTCGAAATACATAAATAATCTTATGAATTTAATTTATTCTAATTTGTTTGTGTGCGCGGGGTGCGGTGTACGGTGCTCCCCCCTGCCTCCACCGTTGCTGGAGCTTGCATGTATGGAGCATTGCGAATATAAAATATCTAGATTAGTAAATTAATAAATTCATAATTGATAGACCGTTACGGTATCTATATATATTCGGATTAAAATAAGTATCGCAGTAAGGACCAGTATATAAAGTGATCAACACAATTAATTGATTTTTGAAATATATATACGGAGCCAAAAAGTCTTTGTGTATTCAAAAAATATCTAATTTGGTTGTGTGTGCGGGGTGCGGTGTACGGTGCTCCCCCTGCAACGGTGGAGTTACTATGTATGGAGCATTGCGAATATAAAATATCTACATTAGTAAATTAATAAATTCATAATTGATAGACCGTTACGGTATCTATATATATTCGGATGAAAGTAAGTATCGCAGTAAGGACGAGTATATAAAGTGATCAACATAATTAATTGATTTTTGAAATATATTCAGAGCCAAAAAGTCTTTGTGTATACCAAAAATTTAGCCGTTCGGAGCCATTCAGTCACGAATTATTAGTAAAAAAAGTGTCGAGTATATCGTACTATCGACGAATATATATGGCCACATCGCAAAATAGAATGCGACGTTGCCATACCGCCTGAGATATACGCGATAGGAGTCAAGTTATTCAGTGCAAAAGGTGGAATCAGCAAGTGTGTAGGTTATGGCGTGATCAACAAAGTGCCCAAAGAGGTGTTTATATATAAATATATAGTAGTTCAACGCCGGGTCATTTAGTAATTAATAAAGAGGTCAAGCTTGATAAGAAGTCGATACCGCTTGCATGTTTCCTATTACACAAAATCTAGATCATTTAGAAAATTAACATTGCGTTTTAATAGACGGCACTTCATCCGTGAAATAGAAAACAAAAAATGAAAACTACTCTATACTAAATTACTAATCATCAATGCAGGCTTCGTTCGATCTTTATGGAACTTTCGGGATATTTCTCGCTCTAGAAAACTATACCTAATTGCCAATTTAAATAGGAAAATAGAAGATATAAGAGACTTTCGGGTTATTAGTTCCAACTTCTAGACCTGAAAAATGGTGGGATTCAATCATATATGTACAATGACATGTATAAAGAAAACTTTGAATAAAAAATTTCAATAATAATAAAAAATATATACAATCCAAATATTGGAGAATGAATTCCGATGTGAAATCATGATTCTAGAGGCAAGAAATGCCTAAAAGAAACAATTCGAAATGTACATTTTTTTATTATTATTGAAACTTTCTATTATATTTTCTTTCTTTCCATAACTTTTGACTGAACTGATTTAATAAAAATTTATATGAATAATAAATTGTACCACAAAGACGGATATAGCCTTTTTTATTTCCACAAAAGTAGACGAAGGCTCAAATAATAACTAGTCTATACATATAAATAAAATTGGAGTGTCTGTTTGTAATATTGATATTACCGTTTTTTACTACATGCATATGAATATAAATACGGGAGATACACCAAAATAATATCTTTTACAATTTTTGTCTGTCTGTTTGTTCCGGCTAATCTCTGAAATGGCTGGACCAATTTTGACGGGCTTTTATTGGCAGGTAACTGATGTAATAGGGAGTAACTTAGGCTACTTTTATTTTAGACAAATAAAGTTAAATTCCACATGGACCAAGTCGCGTGTACAGCTAGTTTTAAAATAAAAATGGTAACTACAGTATCATGTTACGACACTAGTATTAGATGAGGAAATACTAGTAATGTAACAGGTAATCTCTCACGTTCACAGGTAAATACTAGGTACGTGTAATTTACTAGGCTACATGTGCGGCCTGTTCACAATGACATGCTTTTTGTGAGGTGGTCCTTTGTGCGCGTTTTATTAAAGCAGAGTGTAAGGTTTCGCCGCGTCACGTATTTGGACCGTGACAAGAACCTCCGTGACGGATGCGCCAACATCCAGCTCCGTACCGTTTGGACGTTTATCTGTTATTTATAGATCATAAGTGCTTCTGTTTTCTTGTAACTATATTTCTTATATCTTGTACTTTCATTAATACGATGTCTAAAGTTTTAGGCTTTTCGTAGGTACCTTGTATGTACATATATTATACTAACTGTACCCGCGGTTTCACCCGCGTCAAATTTATAGCCTATGTATATGTTATTCTGATGTATATTACGCTAAAATTTCATCAAAATCCACTTTGTAGTGTTTGCGTAAAGAGTAACAAACATCCATTTATACTCATAAACTTTCGCGTTTATAATAATAATAATAAGAAGATTTAGTTGAATAACAAGTATTATTATACAAAAGAACAAAACCAGTTTACATTATATATTCGGAACCCTTGGTATGCGAGCATTAATCTCTATTTCCCGTTTTTTATTTATTTTAACTTTAGTACCTAGCTATCTTGAGTTAGAATTATTGAACATCTAATCCTACCAATTTAATTTCATATTCCGAAACGGCTTGACCGATTTTTATGATATCTCACATCCATATTCAGTAGGTTGTAGCCGATTCTAAGGCTCCTGTCTATTTTTCATATCCCTAAGTGGTAAGGGTTATCCACCCCTAATAAATTTGGGCAAAAAATACATACAAACCAACCCCTATTTTTTAATTTATATGGCAAAACAACGTTTGCAGAGTCAGCAAGTATTAAATAAATTCGAAAGTGTTTCTGTTTGTCCCTCTGTCTAATCGTTATCTTACTATCTAACTTATCACGACTTAATGGCTTAACGGATCTTAATAAAAATTTACGAGGGTAGTACAAAATAATGAGTTTTAATATAAAATGTAACGAAGTAAGTACGCCATACTATTATTATTATTATTATTGGAATGATTTAATAAGTAGGTAGTAGGTTTGAAGTAATTGCTTATAATTAGTTTTTAAAAAAATTTTCGTCTTGATAATACAATATATCTCGAAGATACTTTCTTCTTAAGAAAATTCTACAGCTAGAAATTATGATAAGGCAGAAACGAATGAAATGTTACATCCGAAAATCCTACTATATAGGTATGTACGTAGGTACGTATCTAATGTTTTGCACTAACTAGATAATAATAATCGAGCTACTGTCGACGAAAACGATCAAAAACATGTTTGTTATTCCTTAAACGTGTTCAAAAGCTCGTAGCCACCAATAAGAATAATAATTACATACGATTAGCATTTATGTTCAATCCAGTTCGTTACAGGCGTACCTATTAAATTGTTAATAGTACGATTCTAAACAATATTTGCAAAGGTTTGTATGCACACTGTCTATAAACAATTAAGTAAATAGTTTTAACTGTTAGCTAAGTAAGATTAAATTAGAAAGTAACCATATAAAATAGCATATAAATGGGGAAAAGAAAGGTATTATACGTTTAAGTACCTCTACAATAAAACGAGCAAACGGTAGATGGCCAGTAAATTGCCAAATATTCATAATGATTTGAGATCAGAAAAACTTGTGTAACTAGTTTGATCACATTAAAGAATAGGAATTGACTGATCTGTTTTGAACATATAGAGCTGAATATAACAACCATCATACACCAGTAGGTATTTACAGTATTTAACAATTTCGGCCTTAATAGAGTAAAAACCTCATTCAATGTCACTGTTATTACTAACTAATCAATAACTATTAGACCTATTTATAACAGTGATTTTATTAGGTAGCGACTATTTTATCTGTTGTTACAAATAGACCAATAGAATGAGTCGTAAACATCCGAATAATCACATTATCTCAATGCAGCAATGCACACTGCATCGTATCGATCGATAAAAACAACGCACTGCACTATTTTCCCGCGTTTTTTTTTGCCGCCGCGCGTTTATAGCGTCACTGAGTTCAATGTAACGTCACTACTAGCTAATTAAATAATATTACTGTCACAAATAAATAAATAACAGTCGCGTAGTAAATTGTATTCACAGATGTGGCACTTACTACGGTTGTGGCGTAACTGAACCAACTACTAGCCGGTAGGGACGGCGCAGGACGTTCACTACATCGCGCCATAAATATAACCTAGCCGAGTGGAATAGTAGGGTGGTCGGGTACTAGCGATAAAAGCCGGGTGTAAATAGAAACCGGCGGGTTGGTTGCCCATTCATGATAGGGGACGGTGCATAGCTCGCATAGCTTCCGCATTCAGCGGCGGGTGCATATAAAAAGTTTACCTGTGCTGTAGATAGAACAGTAAAATAGAACCGTAAGCAGAGCGGAGCACAGTGACAATATAATAATAGATGCCGTTTGTTGCCTATGATCGTTTTAATATGCTTATCCACAGGGATGTAGTATCTGTACATGCATTCTGGTTCGTAAGAAAGGATATTAAAAATATTGTAAGCACACTTACTTTTACAAATTTTACTACTCACTATAGTAGCATGCGTTAGCTTCGCTCGGCTGTTTGTTCGAGTTTTGTATATCTCAGATATATGGTTCGTCTAAGAGTTTTTCTATGCATATTATAAGTTGACTAGTTGCCTATTGTGTGGTAGATCCATAGACTCAATAGTAAAAGCTCATCTTAGTTCAGAGTCCTGATGGCGCCGTGAGTTGTACAAAAACAAAGTTATTTACTGGCTTCTGTATAATTATAATAATAGAAGGTATGAAAACCGTTAAATAATACATATCTATTTCATACAAACTTTATTTAAATCAAAAAATAAAATCTACAATAATCCTTTACTTTAAAATTATTATGTATAGTAATAAATTTGTTGTAGCTTCTCAATCTTTACGTTAGCAGGTTTCACCGTTCCTCCTTTCAAGGCAATAACAACCCTTAGGTCACATCGTACCCAATGTTGATCCGTCACTTACATCACAAAATAAAACAAAGAAACTGGGTTCAAACATAAAATATTGATAAAATACTGTTTCCTATGAAAATATCTGTCGGTTGTGGTTGACTCGTATTACAAAACGAATAGTAACAATTTTACCATAACAAACACTTCATTTAGGCTTTCTTAGATATATTGGCACACAGAACTTTACGATTCTGAAAAATACAAGTCTCACGATTATAAAAATTATGCATTTTATAATATTCATACTGAATTCTGATAATATTGCATTTGATCTACTTCAGAATTCGTTCGAATATCAGCGAACATGTAACGCACGATTATTGACTTAAAAAAGTATTGGAAAATATGTTCAAAAGTTTTGACATTAAAATAAGATCCTCAATTATATTTTTTAAATTCATGGTGCTTATTATTTTGCTTGACATATATATTATACAACCGTTATAACAATCAATGACAAATTTCCTCTACATTTGTTAATACCAACTAGACTTTAGGGTTTGTTCCAAACTAGCATGTATATATTAATGATTTACTAAGCTAATATTGTCATTGTTGTCAAAAATACCATATAAGAAAAATCTATTTTATACTATCTTTATTATAACAGCTGTAAATAAATTTCTTTCATTTTAGTATCAAGATATACTTTCTGAAATAATCGATTATGTGTATTTATACGTATTGATTGTGAATATTATAAAATTATACTAGCAATATACTCAACTGACTATCTACTTTAAATATATAATAAAAAAAAAAGAAATTCAGTTGAGTTTCTTGCCAGTTCTTCTCAATTGAATCTGTATACTGAGCTGGACGGTAGGGAAAACATATTCATTAAAAAAAACTTGACGTTCATAAGCGGCTAAAATATCCTACATTAATAAATAATTTTAGATTTGATTTGATTTAGGATAAATAGCTTTAAAATATATACACACGCAAACAAGTTCTTACAAAGATTAAAAATTATCGGACAATTTAGATATGATTTAAACAGTTAATAAGGATGACCTGCTTACAAGGGTAAGATTGAAGTATCAAGCGAGATTGCATAAGTAAGAAACGAAGTAACTGCTCATAATATAAAATTAGAATTTTACTACTTACCAGAATAACTATGGTGTATATATGAATATTTAAAAGGCAACATTGTACTATGTGTTTCTATATTATACTTGCAAATGGATATTCTAATTATTGACACAACATAGAGTAGGAATGCGTCTAGAAACATAGCTAATTTGGAACAAATCAAATGTAAATCATTTTACTTCTATTTTTTTAAAATCAATCCCCATTGTTTGCACTTCAGTTTTTCTGTATATAATAAAAATAACATCAAATTCTATTCAAAACCATATTAATATCGTCTGTTAATAATTTAATAACACATAACATTAATATAAAAAAAATAAGTAAATTTCAACATTACATCAGATTCAGAAAGTTCTGGATGCCAACATCTTTCATTATTAGACGTAAATGACAGAAATTTACTAAAAATACTTTTACAATAATTACTTAACAGATTATATTAACTCTTTTACAGCTTAATTACAATGCAATAAATTTTATATTTAATAAAAAATACATATCTCATTTATCAAAGAACACTTCACCTAATTCATTTGTCGTCAAATCGGTAACAAGTGAGGCACATTATTTATAATATTTATTTGCCCAACACGGGCGCATTAGTACACAATATGGACTGCCACTAACATTACTATATGCTTCAGTCCTTATGTACTTTTAGTCAATAATTTTAATATTCAGTTTAATATTTTAAATTTTACAATAATAAATTCATATCAACAACAAATTGCATCGCATTTGGTTATTATTCAATGGTTTCATGATCACAATACTTTTAGTATAAAACGTAAAGTTACTTAAATTGCTTGTAGTTTGATACTAAGGTGGTTGGGTAAAAGACAGTACAGACGCATACACTAGTTAACAATGTATTAAAACTAATCAGAATTGGTATTGATAATTGGTGTTCTAAAATACAGTTAAGTTACAAACTTAAGTGCCTTTAAATAAGGTATATTTTATTAACATGCGTTCAAATCGTAAGAGATTGACATAAACCAACTAAGATAAAATTTATTTTAGAATTTTCTATATCGTAACAAGTTTTATATATTGTTTGTACCTTTATTTAACAGACTTCTTAAGTTACATTATTATAAAGTATATATGTATGTGTCTATCAAAACTTACTTCAGTAGCTTATGTCAATCATGTTATTTCACATTAATTTTGTACTAGAAGTTTCGACTTATTTTACATTAATATTCAAGTTAACAGACGACTTCACGTTTGAGAATTTGCCATTACGATTACCAAATTAGTGTTAAAATCCTCTTGTAACAATTTTACAACATAAATTGTAATAACATTGTATTATAAAATAGAATTTACTTTATTAAAATTCACTAATATATATATTAACATTTGTAACAGTTCTTTTTACTTTTAAATCACACACTTAACAATTTAAGAACATTATTATCTATTTTTCTAAACAACCTGAGTTCTGTTTAAATTTGTTAAAGATAAAACATTTTTTTTTCTGTATAACGTTTACGATAGAGAAAGGTAGAGAATTGTGCCCATACAGCTATATTTGTTTGTAAATTAAATCGCCGCATAGACTGACGAAACGCTACAAAAATTTTCCTGGAAAATGTAACTACTTTTATAAGTAAATCAAGGAAAATCAATGCCAGAGCAACGAGTTTAAAGTTTTGTCTACTAGCTTATATGGACACATACATAATAATATATTGACGAACACTTGAATAACAATACCACAAAACTCAAACGTAAACTCGGCTGGTAACCACGCCATTTTAAGAAAATGTATATTATACATTCTCACGATATTGTACAGCTATAGTCATGAATATTATGCTTTAATGATATAAAATGAGCACTTTCTGTTACATTGTTTTATTATTAGACACATGATGAAAATTAAACACTACAGTATCTTAATTTGGAAATGTGTATATAACATACCCAAATTTATAGATATGTTTTACTCAAGCAACACTAATGATCAAGGAACACCATTAAATGTAGATAGATATATATGGTTCATTTTCGAGTTTTACAACATGAAATAGAAAACGAATAAAGCTCGTTAAGGAAGTACATAAACAATTCTTTTCCTAAAAGAATAACTTCTCTGATATTTAATAGCTACATTTGTATAGAAAAAATACATTTTGCATAATAAGTCAAAAGAAAATTTTGGTGACGATCATACAAAATTGTTTCTGTACACATCTATATATTAAAAAAAATATAATTAGCACTCTTATTTAACAGGTTTGAGAAAAGCACTCTCGGTAATAGTACCCACAATTTTTATATTCTACTAATAATAAAGTATGTCGTCCACAAGATCGCAGTTTCACAGGTCTCGTAAACGATGAAATATATCTATGAGAACAATATTTATCTGAAAGTCGCACGTAGCCTCTGTTTCGACATCATAAGAAGGAAAATTGGTTTTCCACATCTGTCTAAAGTTAAATGCAACATGATATATATATATATAAATATAGATAAAATAAATATCTATGGGGCCTATTCAATTCGCCTGGTCCACATGTTAAACTTACATGTTAAAATATTCAATATACTCTTTTGTACTATTGTTTATATTCGATTGCGACCCGGCGGTCGCCGGGGCGTGGCAAACAGCCGCGCCGGAACATGGGACGAGTACAAAAACTACAGTCGACAGTGGAGCGAGGTACCTACCTAAACAGTTTAAAGAACTAAACGGGGACTACTTACGCTAAGTCGGAGTCGGAGCGAGCGACGAAAACAAAAAACAACAACAGAACATTAACCGTATACGACGCGGTCATCTTTGGATCTCCCGCACGACTCGGCGACCGAACCGATAAAATACGAAACGTCAAAGAGTACTTCGGCAGTACTGAAGGCACCGTTTTCCCCCACGCTCGCAGGTAACCACAATTAGCACTAGTCGGGCGCGCGCTACTTGGCGAGCCGGCGCCGCAGCCGGTGGCGCAGCGGCGGCGCGGGCGCCCACGGGCCGGCGGCGCGCTTGCCCAGCGGCGGGCGGTCGTCGCAGCGCGCGCGCTTGGCGGGCGGCGCGGCCGGCGCGGCCGGCTCGTTGCGGGAGCGCAGCGCGCGCGGCCGCTCCTCGCCCGACGTCGAGTGCACGAGCGGCTCGCGCGCGCTATCGGCGCGGCGCGGCCGGCGCGGCGGCGCGGGGGCGGCGCGGGCGCGCGCGCGGCGCGTCGCGGCGCCGAGGTTCTCCTTCGAGCGGTCGGCGCGCAGCCGCGCCGCCGGGGCCCGCCGCGCCGGCCCCGGGGCGCGCGCCGAGTTTCCCGCCGCCGCCGCGCGTAACTCTCGCGCCACGCCGCCGATGCTGCGAGTGATCTTCTGCGCGAGCGGCGTCGAGGGCGCGTGTGAGCGCGTCGCGCGCCCGCCGCGCCTGCCGTCGTCGTCGTCGGCCGCGAGCGGCGCCGGCTCGGCGGACGAGGGCGCGGGCGCTAGTCTCCGCGGCGGCGGCACGGTCTCCGTGGAGGTGGACCTCTGCACGGGCGGCGCGGGCGGCGCGCGCCGATTGAGGATGACGACTCGGTCGAGCGACGGCGGGCCGGCGGGGCGACCGCGCGTCGCCGCCTGCCGAGTCTGCGGGCGCTGCTGGCCGTCCTCGTGGTGGGAGCGCAGCACGCGGTCGGGCACGACGGGCGCGTCACGGCGGACGTCGGTGCGAGGTCGTCGGCCGCGGGGTCTCGGCGGGGCCTCGACGGGTGAACTCGACGAGACCTCGTTTATTTGGATGCCGCCGTCGTCGACGGCCGGGGACGGCTCCTCGTCGGTCGGCGGCGCGTCGCCGGCCGCTCCGGTCGATTTCTCGTCGGCCGACTGACCGAGCGGATCCGAGTCGACGTCGCCCTCCGACAGAACGGTGACGGGGGGCGGCGGCGACGGCTCGTGGACGTCGTCCGCGTGGCCGCTGGCGATCTCCTCGTAGACGTCGGCGAGGGTGTTGATGACGCGAGTCCGGTTGAGAAGGCGCGCCATGAAGTAGGACTCGGCGGGGTTGCCGTAGGTGGTGATGGGGTCGGCGTCGTCCGCGTCGCTGGAGTCGCGCGGCGCGGGCTCGTGCGGCGCGACGGAGAGGCGCGCGTCGATGGAGGCGCAGGGCGGCAGCGGCGGCGGCGAGGCGGCGGGCCGCTCCGCGTCCGAGTAGCGCGTCATGATGGTGAGTCCGTTCTGCGGCACGGGCCGCTCCGCGTCGGGCGCGGCGGGCCGCGCGGGCCCCGCGGGGGCGGGCGCGGTGTGCGTGGGGTGCGCAGGGTGTGCGGGGGGCGCGGGGGGCGCGGCGCAGGCGGCGAGGGGCGGGGCGACGGCCGGCTTGTGCGCCGTAGTCCGCGAGCGCAGCACCGTAGCGCGCGGGGGCCCGGGCGGGTCCAGCATCAGTGTCACCACCGACGTGTTGTCCGCCCTCATTCTAGTATTGGACCATCTGTAAATGATAATTCTCAATATGTAATTTTAAAATAATAAAATTCAAGGAGTAAGTATCCACTAATATTAAATTGCGAGATATGCTCTAGTAACAGTATTTTAAAAATTAATAATAACCAATAATGAATAACAATATTTAATTTATTTTTAAAATATGCCAACTAAGTGTTTGAAGTAATAAATACACTTTTAAAAACTTTTTTTTTAATAACAAAATAATATTTTAGTCACGCTCCTCAATATGTAATTTAAATGCCTTACCTCACCCTGCAAAAGAAAAAGCTTCCAAGCTGCTTGAATGCTGAAATAGGTGAGACTGGGGTAAGTCTACCTCAGTTTAAATCTAGAAAAACTAAATATATATGGATGTATGTATTACCTTTCTAAAGCATGGTCCACCAAACTTTTTGATGGGTTAAGCCAATCTCTGGGCTGGCTACCGTTGCCACTAACTAGTGCCGCCTCATTGTGTCTTTCTGTTGCTTGGACTAGGTTCACTGCACCTTCAGGAGATATCATATTCCACAGTCCATCGGTGCCGAATATTAAACACCTGAAGTAAAATTAACACATACAAAGAAATTTCAATAAACCAACTGTTCATCAAACAACAATTATTTTATATTATTATGATTATTTATGATTTTAATCTGATAAAAGATGATATATAGTATTTTATTATCATTACATTAGGAAATTAAACATTGAACATTTATCAAGTATTGTTCAATTATTTTCAGTATCATTCTTATTTATATGTCAAAATCTTTTACTGTGGTAAGTTCATTCAAGCACTAATATAATAAAGTACATGTAGTATATTATAAAATTAAGTAGTTTGAACCGAAAGAATCTGTGTTTGTTATATTCAATCTATTAATCTATTACAAATCAATAAATACAGATTTAGGATCTACAGAAGTCATATGAATCTTTAATTATATTTTTAATATATATGTTAGTGGAATTAAACAAAATAATATAAATGCAATCAGTAAGGAAATGGACTTCCACAAGTTACATATGCAATGCACACAGCTTTATCGAAAAGTGCTGAAGAGGAGAATTTGCACACGCCGAAGTATAAACGAGGCCACAATGCCCCAATTTCAATATAATTTTAATTGCAATATGCCATTCATTAGGTCTGTAAAAAGCTGACTGTTTGTTTTGGAAATTGTGGTTTGCTTTAGGAGTACTGAGATACATTAGTTTAATGGAATGTGCAATGGTATCACAACTATTTTGGTTAGTTTTGGTATTAAGAATGTAGAATCATTACATAGTATAAAATAAAGTTGCTGTCGCTGTCTGTACATCAATATGTATGCTTAAATCTTTAAGATTATGCAACAAATTTTGAACATTTTTTTAAAAATAGATAGTTATTCAAGAGGTTTATATATATAATACATGTGCAAAGCCGTAGCTAGCTAGTTTTATTATAATAATTTGGTTTTTTATGCCTGCTGGACGGAAGTACGGCAATTTATCAAATAATAATTCAATAATAATTAGATTATTATATTAATTTATATATACAAATATTTCGTTGCATTAGTCATAACTTACCGAAACTTAGTTGGGTCAATTGTCAATACACCAACATCAGGATCAGGACTAACTATGAACTCATCATTTTGTGGATTATAACTCCACAGATCACCTAGAGATCGTGCTACAGCTAAGAAAGGGATTTCATCCATGGGAGTATTCTTTTTTATGGGTCCCTTGTGACCTACTCGAGGTCTGTTCCATACAACGCGTGGAACACCAGCTTTTGATATAACTTTCCCACCACATCTTTGAATTCTCTCTATTTCTGCAGTGGATTCTGGTTTATGGTCTGACGTTAGAGGTTTGGCAGCCCATTCTTCAGAGCCTAAAAAATGTAATCACATTGCAAACATGTTTAACCTGTTTCTAAAAAATTTATATCTATTTAGCTGCAATGCAGAGATTTCACCCTTAAAAGATCCTCTTAAAATGAGATTTTGGCCATGTGAATGGGGACATTATTAACTTTGTATATGTTAAATGAGATTTTGTTGTATGAAAATTGGTTAAATTACTATGATGTATGAGATTAGAGAGTCAAAATGAGATAAGATATTAGATTTTGTAGATAACTACTCTCTTTGTAAAATACATATAGTCAAGTGTTTTAAAATTTGCAAATCTATTGTAATAGTCAATGACCTGTCATGGTCATCTTTTCATCCTTCTCTGGTACACATAATACCTCAGGTAGAAATAATATTCATTATTCATTTAAAAAAATCAAAGAAACATGAGACTGTTGACTTGTTAATAGTTTCTTTTTTAATCAAAAGGCTGTACTGATCTTAACCGAATGAATTTGAATCAGTTTAAATGTATTCAGAATAGGTTTAAAATTATTTGGCATAGAGTCAAAGTTCAAGGCTGAATGCAAAAGGTCATTGTACTATGCTTCCATTGATATTAATGAAAATGACATTAATAACGCTTTTGTGTTATACCAAAAACTCACCATCTTTTTGGTAACCAAGTACAATAGCAGAATCACCGACATGTCCAATGTAAATTTTCCCACGTCTAATAAATGCCACACTGGCTGTAGTCCCAGCTGTGCTTGGCAAACCAGTTACTGTTTTTGGCCATTTTTCTGGAAAAAATAGCATACATTGTTATTAATAAATATTATGGACAAAAAAAATAAGACTTTAAATATGTTATGTATGATATAATTTGTATTTGAAACTTTTAAATTAAATATAAAACCATATTATTATGTCATTAGTTCCATTATACAAATGACAGCTAACATTTATAACCTTGGACAATTCACACAGCATAATTTAATCCCAAGCTAAGCAGAATTCGAGTCATAGGTACTAGACAACTGATATAAATACTTAGATATATCTTTATTTGTAAATATATACATAATATACATGGTAAACACCCAGACAAATGCCAACAATCTTAATCATGAATGAATTTGAACCTACAACTATCCAAAGTAAGGCTGTGTGGCAAAGCACTAGAACACTAAGGTCATCATAAATATGTTAAAATGACATACACAAAATACACTGAATAATTATTGACTTTGTATGTAAAATTGTTATAGTAGATGATGTGGTGTTTTAAGTACAACACATCATACACTGAAATAATTATATACATTCTTTATTACTTTTTTCTTTTCACACTACTAGAGGCACTATAGAAAATATTCTTTCTTGAGTAGAATCATTTAAAGTCAGAACTTAATATACTTAGTAAAGTGACATTTTTCCACTGTAACATTGATGTTAGTAAATAAAAAACATGTCAGAACAAGTATATGAGAATAATAATATTTATATTATATTAGTATAAGATTAATTAATTTATTTTACTTTCACAGTAAATTACAGTTTGATGTAAAAATAATATTGTATCCTAATAAAATGATAATGGATAATGCCATAACACAAGACTTTCATAAGAGGAAACTTGATAACACAAAAACTGAAACCAGCTGAACTGCTTTCACTTTACAAGTAGTTGTTTGTAAAGACTTACATGTAATACACATTACAAAATTATTATCACCTCACTATTTATAAAACAGTAATAAGACTTCAAACTTTTCTATTGTGGAATCAATGTCAAACTAATATAGAAAAAAACAATGAGCCAAGTAACAAGGTCACACAAACATTTTACAATCACTATGAATTCTCCTTGAGTTTATCCTCATTTGTTTCAAAGTAAATTAAAAGATTGTTCGTAAGGCAAAAACTTACCTAATTCTTTCCACATGTTCAAATGGGTCAACATGTAACCATTTCTGATGGCTTTCAGGACATCCTCATCATTATCAGACCAAAATTGACGTTGCTTTACAATAGAATCCATCAAATGTTCTTTAGCGAATGCTGCCGCCTCGCTACCACCATGCCCATCATATATACCAAAGAAAGCATACTCCAAATCTCTTTCATCTTCAGTTTGTTGATAAGCAACGGAAAACAAGTCTTCCATATACTTTCTCCCGCCTTGGCTGCAGTGGCCAGTCACACGTAAATTAACACCAATCGATGCAGGCATTTTACTTTAAAACTATAACACTACAAATAACAACAAAAATTAACATTTCATTGTAACACAAACGTTTCTTTCTCAGACATTTTGCATTTGCAATTACGCGAGTAGCAACTGACGACAGATCACGTGGACATATTGATCACTACGCGTGCCCAAAGTCGCTTAAGGGGTTTCAATAAGTTAGAGAAGGATAAACACACTACTCTACAGAGCGTCTCATAAAAAAATGGACGCCATGACTTTTTCCGCCATATTCATTAATGACTCAACATAACGCCTCTTTCGTAACAGATATTTAAAACTGAGTTTTAAACACTTTTGACGCAAATTATAAACTATAAAATTTAATACATTATTTTTAAATTAATGTTTAAGACGTAGTATCTTTTGTAACAATATTATAAGTTAATTGTAAATATAAACAAAACGGAAATCATTGTCATAGTTGAGAAAATTCAACTTTTTTGTATATTCTAGCGATTTGGGTTGCCATTATTCATGTTATTTGACTTATTTATATTTATTGTCGTACCTTTTTAATATTCATTATATCTCTTTTCCTTAATATCGTAAGAAATAAACTATTAGAAATTAAGAATAATAAATCAATATCGGAGAAAGTCATCATGACTTTATAAAGTAGCGACACCTACCGGATGCTTTAAAACCATCCAAGAACTATTTAAACTACACAAAATAATATATAAATAAATAGTGAACCTATTGATAGTCCGTTTAAGAGGTGACAGAAATACACCAAAAAATAGGTATTATCTATTTGGAATGGTGAACAAACTGACAACTTAACTGATGGTAAGTGGCAACCAATCCCAAATTAGGGGAGAGAGTCAATGCATCATAAAAATTATATTTATAAAGTACCACTTACATCCCATTTAAACAGCTCTAGATTCTACTATACTACTCCTATTGTAGTACTATTGCCTAATTAAATAGTGTATTTCATATCTGTGTTACGTAACAAAAAAAATGCAAATATGTGAGTATTCAAATGTAGCTATGTAAATGTGTGAAAAAATAATAAATAAAAGACTGCTGATTTTATGATTTTAATTTTATATTCTAAATTTATTATCTATTTATGTAAAATAAACACAAACTGTAAAAGTTATAACAATTTATATGATAACATTGTTTAAATTTACTCTTCTATTCTTCTATAACTTCCCATGGCTTTTCTGGTCTCATTAGGTCCCATGACTTAGGTTTCATATAAGGCTCAGGTTCTTCTAATTTTATGCCACCTTTAACAACCTCATCCAGAAATTTCTCCACTTTACCTCCTGAGACTGGTTTAATGTTACAATACACTTCAGTTATTCCAGATTCAAGACACCGCTGAGCAAACACTCTTCCTAAATTAATGTATGCACTTGTATCATTGATACTGTATAATTGTTGACGGAGTGCCCATTCTGATGTCTTTGCTTCCACTACAGGACCATTAACAAAGTGAACGACTTGAGCTGTTACTGTACGATTGCTTGGAGTGAGGACTAACCTATAAAAAAAATTGTTGCTATAGATAAAAGATATCACAAATTATGAACATTTTGAATACTTTCAAAACTAAATGAAATTACAGAGTATGGTAGCAAGGGCAAACCATTGATGAGTGCTATTGGCGGCATATATGTATACATATAAATGCCCAATGCCACTTTCCATAATTTGTCAATTCAGTTACATAAAAAAACAATACTAACTTGTGCCAAAACTTACGATCCGGTTTTTCCAAATGATAACCGTCTGGTTTGCGAGCTATCCTCATTCGTTCCAAGTTCCGAGGATTCCTATTAACAAATTCTGGTAATGTTGAAGTAAATCTAGCCAACATTTGTGGTTGTATTAAAGTTATTCGCAAAGAATTCATTGCGCTTCTTTGAATGAACTGTATCTATATATTTTTGTGGTCACTATTATTTTAATTTTCCAATTACTTAAACAGAGACAATTATTTTTCATTAAGGAAATTTCGCATAAATAAACTATCAAAATAAAATGCTCGCTCTTCTAAGTACCAATGATAGTCGATATATAATAATTATAATGTTATGTCAGTAAGTCAGTAGCTATGTCAAGAAATTGTCAATCAACCTTCAACCACCAACAAGCGGTGCGAGGTAATATAAAAAGTATTAATCGACGACTAAAATCCGATAGAGACATGATGTCTCTACTATACTATTATTTAAAATATTTTTTATACTTTAATTTGTGTATTCAGTACATTATGAAATAATATGCATTATTGTTTATTATTAATTCGTGTTAATTTATGAAAGTTACACACCACGTCTCAACTTTGTAATGGTTATAATATTTTGATAAATATATGCACAATACAGTTCATGAGTATGTCGTGTCCTATTGCTATTTTATAAATAAGCTGTATTCAAATGGGACGTTGTTTGTAAAGGCTCTTTTTAATTATAAATAAATTTTCAATAAAAACTTTACATATAGTTGGGTAGTGGAATTAGGTGTCACACAATGATGCATGTATATTATTTATTTATTCATTTAATTCAGGCTACTAATGACCCATATTATAAATACCATATAGACTCGCATACACATGAAAGACATTAAATTTAAAAATGGATATAAATTGTATAAAAATAAATATTAATGCTTAATTTAATAATAATGGCTAGAGAAACTGTAAACATATTTTATTTATAACGTGTACAAATCAACTAATGTTGATTATTATACATAGCAAATAAAAATATGTGTATCATATAATATATAGAGAATTTTTCTCTAGCGAATATAGAAACATTATTGGTATAATAGTACTTTCGTTTACGCTTTTCGTTTAAGCTCTCATCTCGACATCACTACATAAAAAAAATAATGACGTATTGTTTCTCGTCGCGATCGCCCACCCACACGTCGAGTTTGCTTTTCTTGAAAATATTCTGAATATTGTTATTCCAGACACGTTCTCTTGTAACGAATAATATTGGGCTATGTGGCGATTTTTATATTATGTGTGCAACTCGCATTTCACTGTGCCATTAGTTTGTTGAGGCGGTTTCCTCGACGGGCGTGAACGTATGGAACAGTTAGATGTTTTGTAATTAATTCGTACGCCCACCAGCCTGTGACATTCTGATTACTATCTGTTGGTGTACGGCATTTTGCATGGCAGAAGATAGTTGATAAAGTGACGATGTCGCTTCAGAAAAGTGTTAAAAGTGGTAATGGTGCGGATAGAAGTGATCTCGCGGATACCACTTCGATATGTTCTTCCGTCACCACGCAGCCTGATAGGCACGGCTTTTTCGGTGGTGCTCAATACAGTCCGGAACCGTGAGTCAATGTTTACATATCTTCTTGATGTTAATTAACGTATTTTGCAATTGTAATCTAAGTTGTATAATGATTCATTCTATTTCTATACAATCTTCCGGAACCTCATCCTTAAAGTTATGAGTTGTTACATAAAATTATTCATATATAAATTATATGAATGTTTGTACTATACAAACATTCATGAGTATTGTTTATGTACAAAGTATGATCTGTGTTGAAGAAATAGTATACTGTATACTAAATACTAAAATTCTACAATCAACCAAAATTTTTTGATAGACTAGAATTTCAATTTTTATATAAATTTTCAATTTAGTGAAAAATGAAGAGCGATGATGAGCGAGAGCTATCGAGGGTTTTATGTGAAAAATATGGAGACAGTTAAAATTCAACTAGTGCAATAGCAATATATGAATATTTTTCACGAGACTGATACCTCTCACTCATTAGGTACATAGTTACAGTTACCTCTTCTTGTTGCGTGCTTGTTGTATAGGCAAATATGTCATTCTAATCTAATAACACAATTTGCCAGATTTGACGCAATAAGTTTTATATTATTACTACAGTTTATAGCAACTGCACTTTATGGTGCATTGGATACTGTACTGTGCTAAATTAGTTTTCACAAGTATTTGTTTCGCTTGTAAATCTCTAAATAGTAAAAAATTTTTTTGACATTATGGTATCCTCAGATTGATCAATGCCACATTTTTATATTCTAAAACTTCTATAACTTATACCTAAAAGGAGGATAATTGTTCATGAAATACTTAATGCACTATTTAATTCGTATATGAATTATTTCTGTAATTATTAAATCAGAATACAAAACTGTTTATTCTAAATAATATTAATATATTTTAAAAAATACTATTTCAATTGCTATAGTTAAGTAATTAGCGAGTATTTGTATGTATTTATATGTATATCTTTGGCTATTTGAAGTGTTTCTGGTAAAGTTTAAATTACAGTTAATTTTTACAACAAAATTGATCAAGAATAGAAAAAAATATTATTTAAACTGTTGGATTCATTCATAATTCAAAAGATTTTCTCTTTAAATATTGATAAAATATTGACATAACTCCAACTTTTTCCTTAATCTACTTGATATAACAGGCACTTCTTCACCTTTTCTTCATATCTTCTTCTTTCATAATGCCCATAAGTTATGAAAGAAAGGCCCTACCCAGTGTCTCAACGATTTGCTCATGTTCTGTTTTCAGTAACATTAATAATGCTTCATTTCTAATTTTTATCTTTCAAGCTGATTCAACTGTTTATTTAGTGGTGAATATAAACTAGCAACAGTAGGCACCCTAGTTACATGATAGGATGTTGCTTAAAACCAACAATATGTAAATCATGGGACTATACAGAGTTTAGAACCTCAGGATGCAAATTACACATACAGTAGAAACAGGATATAACAGTTTTGGTTACAATGAGGGATCAGTTATAATAACTAAATGGCAATGTTCAGATTTAATTGTTCATACAGCTTATACAGACTGTCGAGATATATCTTCTATGTTCTATGGACCTTTAAAGATACCATTTTAACTTCTATGTAGATATTTCAAGTCATTTTTAATTAATGTAGTTAATTCTTATACACCCTGTAAATCGAGCAGTAGGCAGCTGTAAGGCTCCTTATTTTCTTCTGGCAGGATCGGAGTGCCATTTACACACCTCCCTATCCTCGAGTGAAGCTGTAAAGGTCAGGTGTCGCCAACAGCATTCTAATAGTTCGAAAATAATGTAATTAATGGTAGTGAGCCACTCATACACAATAAGTTTCATCAATATTTACTAAAGATATAACTTTCTTATTAAAGAAAGAAATTAGAAAATAAAACAGTATGTACATTTGTATATACTGTTTTATTTTCTTGTTCAATTGAATTAGCCTTAAAGTACATTAAAAACGTAAAAAGCCGGATATATGCCGGTTTCATACCGATGTCATTACAATTGATAAATAAAAACAATGTAATTGCTGTAAGTTAATTATACCTACTACGTGCAAGTTGATTACGAAAACAGATTAATTATGTACACCAGTGAACTGTGAGAACTAACGCCGACACAAGTTTTAAAGGAGTTTATTCTAATAGCGTCATGGTCCACTTGGTTTACTACATCATTTTATACAAAGATCGTGGGTTCGAATTTGGCTAAGACTAAAAAATGCTTTGTGCATCATTTTATATTTATATTTGTGTATCAATTTATATTCTGAAATGATGAAAATACCGATTTACATGAATTTCAGAAAACCACAAAGGTATTTTATGATCACTACTTCGTCCTCTTCTTTTCCCGTTTCAATTACGCAAAAATGGTAAATTTTATAAACTGGTACAGTTTGTAAACTAAATATAAGGGTAAGAATAGTAATTGTAGCATTGTTCTGAGATGAAATACATTAAACGTCATCGAACGTGCACATTTAATGATTTACCGCAATGATGCAACAACTTGATAACTGGGTATTGTAATGTCGGCTCTGGATTGATTCAATCCCTAAATTGCTATTGTCATGTGAATGTGACTATGTTTATTATCTTCCTAACAATGGTGGTAGTAGTAGAAGAATTGGTACTTTTTATCCCAAACTGTGGTTACTGACAATTAAGGCCGTTATAATAAACTTATTTAATTTTATATAATAATACTAGCTGTACTCGCGACTTCATCCGCGTGGAATTTAACTTTATTTTTCTAAAATAAAAGTTGTCTAAGTTACTCCTTAGTACATCAGCTACCTGCCAATAAAAGTCGCGGCAAAATCGATCCAGCCATTTCAGAGATTAATTGGAACAAACAGACAGACAGACTGACAGACAAAATTGCAAGAAATGTTATTTTGGTGTATGTACCATATTTATATTAAAAAAAATAAAAACTGTTATTTCAATATTACAAACCGACACTCCAATTTTATTTATATATATATGGATACCCTGGGCCATTCCAATAGTAAACTAGTAGCAAACTAATCAGGATCTTCTACTATAGGTAGTACCTAACCTAACGTAACAATAACTACAAATAATTAAATACATATATGAATATACATAGAAAACACCTAGACATACAAATAATCATACGCGTGTATACAAATGTTTGTGTCGTGCAAGAATCAAACCCCCTGCCATTGGAAATAAGAGGTTTGCTAACCGCTAGACCTCAAGATCGTCTCTGGTGCATGTTGCCCCCTAAAATGGCATCTGCAGAACTGTCGTAGAATTGATTAAGCAAGCAATTAAGTCCTATTTCTCACACAGACATTTTGATATAGTCGCAATTTGACTTACAAAATTACTAATAAGTTAGTTACTTCATTAGTACTAGACTTTAAAAAATAATCTGCAGGTTTATTCAGAGCTGTATTTCGACTGTAGGGTGCAGATTAGGCAGCAGAAATTACGGGTATAAGTGGTATAATATCTTAGTTGTGTGGAATGTTAGCGCATGAGTGCTATCACGTTATCATGTAACACCCGTGTGTTACATGATAACGTGATGGCCGTATTGCTGTTCATGTATTGGCGACGCTTACCGCTTACCACCAGGTGGGGCTGTCAGCTTACTTGCAATTGTAGTTACAGAAAAAAAGAAGGTATGAAGTAGTGAAGATGTCACATAACAAAAAATTCAAATCGAGAAATCTTCCTCATTGAAGTCGGTAGATAAGCATGTTGTTATCGATTGTACCGTTTACATAATAATTCCGCCCGTTGCCGCATAGGAAAACGGAATAGATTTACTTCCAGCTGTTTTACTCTTGATATTATTAGTGAACGCAAGAGGTTATTGCCCTGCTTGTGATGAGAATGGAGATTCGCCGAATTGGTGTATTACTGGAGTTAGTACAGATATACAGGTTGTATTTAAAATATTCAGTATACAATAGAGTTATACAGGTTGTCATTAATCTGTTGTTAAGATTAACAATATAATATTCTCTGCAAGTATTAAACGCTATAAAGAAGATAACTGTGACCTTGCCACCATTCTACTTGAAAATGGCGGATTCACTATTTATTAACATGATATGTAAACAATAATGTACAATGTAGCAATTTTATCTAAACTTCTAGCGGAAAGTGGGTTATTTGATTATTTCTGATCGTCGAACTCATTTCATTTGACAATAAATAACAAGGTAAGATAAACTGTGGCATATCACTGTTATACATACGAAATATAAGATTACGCCTGTCCTATTGGGGTAGAAAGATACAATAGAATGCGTACATATCTATAAAGAACGTCTTTACATTTGGACACAACCCCCATTACATAGAATTATAACTTTATTGAAATTATGACCTCATTCTTTATTTATATTCAATTCTAAAAAATAAGTTTCAATCTTTAGCTTTAAAAATGGCAATACTGCCATACAAACTTCATCTCCCCTCTCAACCCCTTACAACCCTTTTTTCGCATTAAAATGTAGCCTATATCCTTTCTTAGGGTCTAGACTATCTGTGTACCAAATTTCATTTAGATCGGTTCAGTAGTTTTGGTGTGAAAGCAAGACAGATAGACAGAGTTACTTTTGCATTTATAAGTAAAGATGAAGAATGCCTTTACGTTTTGTACACAACCCCTATTACATACAATTAGCACTTATCATTCAAACAACACTCAAACTTTCTCATATACATTCACTAAACCATATTCTACTTTCTCCCTTAGTACCTCAAAGTACACACACCACTGATACTCTTAAATATTTAAGTAAATACCACTAACAAACTTTGTTTACAGTACATGTTACAATAGAGCACTAATAGGGGAGAAAGAGATTGTTAGTAATGTGGATGAATAAATGCATTACTAGCAATGTCAGGTTCACCACCACGCGCTTTCCCCTGGAAACCATCATGTTAACTTTCTAGTGAATTTGTCACGATGGGTTAACTGACCGACCTCATACTCATCTTATCATCCTCCACTGGTGCCTCGCCAGCGTATACCGT